TGCAGAGAACGCCCTCAGATCTAGTTCAGTTTTTTTTTGTTTTTTTTGTGACAAAAATCAACATATGATCTAATTTTAAAATCTTAGGACATAAGTTCTGTTAAATCTTGAATTATATTTTCTATTTTTGTATCTAACTTGGCAGCAACACCATTATGTCTCCCAACCATATTGGCAGCACCATCAGTAGATAAACACACAAGTTTACTCAAATCAAGGCCATACATATGGAGAAGATGTTCAACTTTCTCAAAAATGTCCTGGCTTCTTGTAGTATTATGCATTGTGACCAGTTCAATTAGTTCTTCATAAATTTGAAATTCATTGTCACAAGCCCTGATGAAAATGGTGAGCTGTGCTATTCCAGCTATGTCAACAATCTCATTCAGAGCAATAGAAAAATGTTCAAAACTTGATGATAAAGTCTTCAACTGTCCACTCAAATCACCTGTCATTTCATCACTCCGTTCAACAACAGGGTTCCTGCTTAATTAAATTCCTTGAAATATACATAAAATTTCAGGTGATTTCAAAGCATGCAGTAATAGAACTAACGTTGTCTTGGATATAAAGCAACTCTGTTGCTGTGTTAACTTAACCATGAAGTCCTTCACTTTTGAAACACACATATCTCCTTCATATTTATAATAAGATCGATAGGTGTTTTTCATAATGTCTTTTCACTTTATGTTTGTTTGGCGTCACAATGCAGTGGTTGCAAATCAAACAGATTATCTTTCCATTAACAGTGTTAGAAAAGTACTGTAATTCGCACTTCTCTTGAAACACACGTCCTTCTTCAGATAATGGAGGTGGCGTAGTATTCGACATTTTTAAAGCAAAGTATTACAAAATTACGAACGTTTTCACTTTACATTTCTTCTTCTTTAGTTGTCACATGATTAACCGGAAGTTAAAAATCACATGATTAACCGGAAGTTAAAAATAGTCGCTAACATTCGAAAACAGTAAAACATGGCGATAAAATAAACAATCTAATCATACCAATTGAAAAAAAAAAGAATCTCACTTTTTTAATAATTTTCATGACCAACATAGACAAAATTCTCGATGTACCACGGCTCTAGAAACTTTTGTGAGGGCCGCAAAGATGCATGTAAAGGGACCCATGTGGCCTGTCAGACGCCAGTTTTACAAACATGGTCTACAGTGATTTTATTTTGAATACACTTCCAGATGTTCTAGAGGATGTACTCTTGCTAATACGAAGACGCATGATGGGGCTTCAGCACATTTTAGTCGCATTGTTCGAGATGCAATGGCTGACTGGCATCAACCATAACGATGAATAGGTAGAGGGGGGAGCGGTTCAATAGTCTACACGTTCTCCAACCTTAATCCTTTGATTTTTTTTCTGTGGGGCAGCTAAAACAACTGTTTCATGCAGCAGACATTAATAATGCAGTGACGATTCATCAACGTGTCATGGAGGCATACGAAACCATTCGACACCGTGTGGGAGTGATTGAAAGGTTCTGGTAGTCAATGATGCGACGAGTGCATGCGTGTGTAGAAGCAAGCAGAGGCCATATCGAACATTTGTTATGTGTTGCTGTAATGGACATTTTTATCTTGTTTTGTTGTCAGGAACCCACCCCAAATTTTGTAAAAGCATTTTTAGATTGTATCTTCGAAACTATATTTAAAACCATCTAAAGTAAACTTTGAACTTAATAACTCATATGTTCATATCGAATATTGTCCTTGATTTGCTGTGAGTAAAATGCCTTCAAAGTTTGTAAAGGTAGTTTTGATATATCTCATACGTCGAATACGTATTCCTGTCGTATTTGACGTATGTGGGTGAAGAAGCTCAGTTCCTAGAAACCGACAGACTGGACACCAGCGCATACTCTTTGGTTATAGTGGTGGTGGCTTTGTGAAGAATCAACCACACATTTTGAAGGGACAAATACACAGACCTTCTGCAATACGTGCCACATGGTACAAAACGACCCTTTGCAGATTTTGAATTCAGAGTTGTCTATCCGGAGGGCACAATAGCTGAAAAGTTCTGATAACAACAACTCAGACAAGGACACTCGTCTTCTTGAAATTAGTCTAAATCACGACAATTTAACGTCTCAGAAAATCGGACAATAAATAGGAATTGATATCTGTATTTTACTTGCTATTTGTTCCCTTCATACATGGGATCTATCTAAACAGACTTTCGCAGGTTTTTAAATCAGAGTTGACCTTCTCCTAGGCCCGTTGCCATCCAAGGCTATAGAACACAGTCTGTCCTGATATTTACCCATAGCTGGAGGGAGAAGAGGAAGTTTAACTAGGAAGTAAGTGAATGTAATATATTCGACTAGAATTTGAACTCCGCTCTCCGATTCCTAAATCCGAGCCACTACTACAACTTGCCTCCTCCTCGTGCCGGGAGTAGTGACGTCCTCCTGTAATTCAGCAACTTGAAGCCATGGTTAACCTTTTGCATTATGGCGTTATGGCGATCTGTTGTCCGTACTAAGCTTGGCATCAAGATATATATATATATATATATATATATATGGAGGAGCAGTAGTTCCACTTTTATACATGTTACATTAAAGACGATTAATGGGTTGTTGCATTTAAGCTTTTTATTTATTTTTTCTTGTTCCTGTATGTCTTTTCGTTTTTGTGTATTGCGTCCAGAAGAGAAAAAAATTATACAAAAAGAAAATAAATAATATGCTTAATCGCAGTACTTTGCCAGTCGCCTTTAATGAAACAACACACACACATACACACACACACATATATATATATATATATATATATATATATATATATATATATATATATATAGTTGCGTTGACGTGAGTTTGTAGCCTTTTTTGAAACGCAGAATCACAAACTCGCGTCAAGGAAACTAAATATGTTAGCTCTATAACTGACATCGAGCGATTTCCAAGAAGTACCAGGCATATAAAAATATATATATATATATATATATATATATATATATATATATATATATATATATATATATATATATATATATATATATATACATACTATTTAGAATAAACAGTAAGCTATATCTCCTGCCCGATTTATCTCTGTCTAATCATATTGGGCACTATTGGGTCTACACCTGTAAGCTAAATTTGGTTATTATTTATTTGCTTACCAGCATATGCACTCCAGCACACGCGTATACGTTCGGTAATATCTAGTTATTTTATTTGCCTAAACTATGCATATCTATATACATACATATGAATATATATACATATATATATATATATATATATATATATATATATATATATATATATATATATATATATATATATATATATATATATATATATATATATATATATATATATATATATATATGAATATATATATATGTGTGTGTGTGTTTGTGTATTTGTTTTTGGGGTGGTATGCTGATTAGGCAGAGTTAAACAAATTAACAATGAATAAATGAAATATAATTGCAATAGGATGATATTTAAGTTTTGTGAAAATCAGAATGTCAAATATTTCAAAGTCTTTCATTAAAAATTACTCGAATTTATAACCGAGAAAAAAAAAGGTTTCTTAAATGTCTGTATGCTCTTCGCAAAAAATTGTAGAAACAATTTTACACCTCCTGTCCAAAAATAAAGGAATGCTTAGAAAAATCTTTCAATTTGGTAATGTTTTCTTTCTACATAATGTAGCATTTTATTCATCTAATTAACACTATACAAGTAGTCCTCGGTATCACGATAAACTGCATCCGGCAGCAACGCCACTGAACAGGATATTTGAGTGTTTAATGAGCGTTCCCATTCCACACTGAACCGGATTTGGTAGCACCTCTTAGGGACCAAACTATTGTTGAATATTGAACCCCAAAGCAAGAACAAAAAACTATGAAATTATAAGAATACATTTTTAATGTAAAAATACCAGTAGTACTTTTTAATATAAACATTTACTAACAATATAAATTTATAGTATAATTACCAACAATAAAATTTTAAATCAAAACGACCAACAATCCTTTTTATCGTAGAATTACCAACAATACATTTTATAGCAAAATGAACAACAATATATTTTAAGGCAAAATGATCAACAATATATTTTACAGTAGAATCGACAACAATACAATTTATAGCAAAATGACCAACAATATATTTTATGGCAAAATGACCAACAATACATTTTATAGTAAAATGACCAACAATATATTTTATCTCTAGTTGAAGGCATGCAATGGCGTTTAAAATATGTTTAGATTTTGGCAATAATAACTGTCATATGTTGATGTGCTGCTACACAAAACGTCTCGATATATGAATTTGGATTAAATCGACCGCTTAACAAAAGATTCTGTTATGGTTCTCCGATGAAACTTTTTATGTGAATGGTGAGTTTGAACTTTCACGTTGGATGGACCCTTCCAGACAGTACGGAACACAAGGGATTATAGTCTGCTGTGAATTAGAGAAAGCTCATGAGATGAGACTGTTTTTATTTGATAGTAACATAACTAGTAACTCTTACTTCACCATCCTGAGAGAACAGTTAATGCCCGGAATTTGAAAAGTTTAGAGAAGGCCTCCCTGAAAGGTTCCAACATTATATTTTACAATGTGCATATAAAGTATAAATTCACATTACGCCATGGCGGTAAACGTCTGATTGAATGACAAATACCCTAACATGAATTGGCTCCACTTTCACCAGACATTAATCCGCTTCTGTTTTTGTTATGTTGAACGAAAGTATACAGGTGTATTCACAATTTACAGTGACGCTGTAATTGCTTAACTGTATCTTTAAGAAATATGAATATTATATTACAATAAACGCTAAATTTGCTTGTAAGAAATAATTCTACGTTTTAAATCAATATATGCAACTGTCTATCTAATATCTTGTTTACGCGGACCGTAAAGATATGGCGATTATTTACTTTTTGGGCAAGTAAGTAAAATTATTTTAAAACGATTAAAATATCAAGTTTAATGATATCAAATACGTTCGAATTGCCGGTATTCGTACGATCACTAAAGTTAAGCAACGTCGAGACTGGTGAGTACTTCGATGGGTGACCGCTTGTGAATACGAGATGCTGTAAGCTTGAATGCAGAAGTGGTGTGATGGATAATAACTCGGTATTTTTAATTAGAGAATCAAGTTCCAATTCCCGTTGTCTTCTCTGTATTCACTAACGCGCAGATAACTTATGGATAGGTATGAATCAATCACAACTATAGTTTAATTATCAAGACTTACATCACTAAACCATTATTACCTCAGAGAATTCTGACAATCTAAAAATATTTTTGTAGCTGTAAACAACCAGCAAAGGGTTGGTGAAATGTAGAAAAAGAATTAGCCATTTTTCCTCACTTTCCTTTAATTCATTCTGTAGGGGTTCCTGTATTTGCATTTTTGCGACAGAAGTTTGTCATCTGAATATATTTTGTTGTTAAGATTTTGGCCATCACAATGAATCCTGGTTTATCAAATTCAATTCTCTTACTGCAAAGATATCCATTTGTTATGACAGCGGAAGGCATATGACATGTCAACGAAACAGGATTTTAATTCCATTACTTCTATTTCAGAGATTTAATGGGTTAAGATATTTTGAGACAAGATGGTCATCTAGGAGTTGGAATTGCCAGATTTCAGTTCTCATTCGTAAATATATATGGACACATACACACAGAGACCCGCACGCACACATATATGTATTTTTTGTAAATATATATATATATATATATATATATATATATATATATATATATATATATATATATATATATATATATATATATATAAAAGTTGATACCTAAGGCCTGAAATTATTTTTTTAAATTAAAAATATTTCTTGAAGCTTTTATTTTAGTTTTAATTTTTAGCTAATAGCTTAAATTTAATATTTCCAATAAGCAACGTTCTTGCTGTTCTTAAAAAAAAAAAATGAGTGTGGAAAGGGTTTTTGTTTTGCTAAAACATTTGATTATCGCCTTTTTTAAATTTCTTTAATCGCAATGCAATTCACTATATCAAAAAAAAATCTTTCAAAATTAACATGTTTTTTTGAAACGTTATTTGTCATTTTTAGAGTATAATTAATCTTATATGAAATAGCTTTTTTTTAAAATTAAAATATAAAAAATGAATTTTTTAAAAATCCGGCAGTAGCTGTTCATTTTAAGGCGTTCGCGAGTCCGACAGCTTGTTGACACATTGATATTTATCGAATGTTCTATTGCCTTTAAAAATTGATTGAATTGAAGATTGAATTAACGTGAGCGCTTTTTAATATAATTTCTCAGAAATCTTAAAATATTGAGAGAATTACATTATTCTCCATAATCTTATGTCTTATTGAATTTTAAATATTTTAATTTTTATTCTTATTTTCGATAATGTCGTCTATATTCCACCGTATAAAAAAAATAACCATGTTTATACTTCTAAAAAAAGATTTCAAAATTCTTTTAAAAATATTCGTGCGGGATGATTTGTACTAAGCTTTTCAATTTATGATTAGGAAATATAGTTTTTACTTACTAACACTACCATTTAACCGGTGCAATAATTTAAAATATTTTAAAATTTGTAGAGAAATTTAAAAGATTTCAAGCTTTAAGAATTATTCTAATTAAAATTTAAAAACAAATGAAAACAGTTCTTGTGAAAATTGTACATCGAAAATTATACAGCGTCTGTTATATGCCTTATTCCTAAAATAATTAAAAGCTTTTCTAATTAAACAATGTGTTAGGTTAATTTTACTTTTTTATATTTTACGATTCACGGCAGATGTTCGGTAAATTGAACTGTTCAAAAAAGAAAAATAATAATTGATGATCTTCATTTTCCAAGAAGTCCTGTTTTAACTAATATTAATATGAAGCGAGATAAAATTTAATTTCTCGAAATTTCATTTAGTGAGTGTGATAACAAATATGAAATTATTTCTACTACGATTTTCTAAAAATATTTTTTTTTCTAAAATAATTTCATTTATTTCTGAATAAGTCCTGAAAGCTTAAACTAAATAAAATTTCCAAATCAATGTGGGTTTTATTTTACAGGAAAAAAAAAGAAGCTAATTTCTCTAATGCTAATTTTTCGCACACTCGCAGTGGAAAAAAAAAACAACCAAAAATTTTAACCTAATAGAAAAGATTAAAAAATTTTTAAAGTACATACAAAAATACTTTGGTCCCCTCTCTTATTAATAATATGAATATTTTGACGATAAAACTTTATTTCATAAAGTTTGGGGTAATTATACATCATGCTATGCTTTTTTTTTACGAAAAAAGAAGAGGTACATATATATGCAAATATGTATAAAGACACCTCGGCGTAGTGTAATGTTTAACATGCTTATCTCGTTAAAACAGTCACGACTGAACAGTGAGGTCGATCCTCATTGGATGCCCCATACTTTTAGCCTTGGGTCACATCTAAGCTACGGTTAAAATATAACTATATACATATACGTATTGGTAGGTCGCCGAGTGGTTAGAATTTTCGCATCGAGTTCGAATCTCATCAGAGTTAAATTTTTCTAAAAGGTGACTTCTTGAGGGGTAAGGCGATCCCTCCGTACGGCAAAGCATACCACGGGTTGACACAAGCTGTACGAGTGAAATTGTGTAGACGTGACTATGTGGAGAGCCGTCGATGGTTTGTTAACACAAAGAGACAAGTCATCGTGGCTGACGGTTTGAGCATGCTGGCCTCATTCAGACCGTTGATCACGCTAGATAACGCGCTCTCTCATTGAAAATTTAACTAAGGTGCGCTAGGCATAGTTGCAGTATAAACCACAGGTGGTCTCTGTGAGTGTTAAGAAGGGTCTGGAACAGCTTCTCTAGTAAGTGGGCATCTTCGTATGCGAGTGGCCAGCCATTTAAATATAGAATATATAATATCCTAGTAAATATATACATATGAATCTATTCCGTGTATTTTCGAGAGCAAATCTGCTTTGAGACAAATATTATTAAAGACAACAGATATTTCCTGCATAGACAAAGAAGAAATTCCGCTAGAAATTGCCTGAAGTTGATTTTAGTAGAAATATAATTCAAGATTTCGACTTTCTAAATTCATCATCAAGGTAGTTAGAGGCAAGAGGTGAGCATCGTCCCGTAGGCAAAAAGCGTTGTCAGATATTCACTAACCGCCCCAGACGTTTGGATGGGGCACAAGGCCAAGTTTTTTGTGAGCTAGACATGGAAAGTTGTGACGTGTGTGTTTTTATATTTTAATTTCTGACGAATTTTCATTCGTAATTCAAAAAAATTGATTCGTACAAATAATTGACTCAAAATGTATGTTCCTTTAATATATATATATATATATATATATATATATATATATATAGATAGAGAAAGAGAGATGTATACATATTTTTTCTTAAGTAATAATTAATTTTAAAAATAAATAACAAAATAAGATTAAAAATAAAATATTAAACAATAGAGATGAAACATACATTTTTATAAAAGATCTTTAATAGTAATTAAATTTTAATATATTTATTTTAAAAATACAGTATCGTCTATTATTTAATAGAAGGTCGAATAGTGCTTTAAATCTATTAAAATAAAATTTAATTAATAAAATTTAAGGATTAATAATATATCTTAAACATATTTAAATGGCCCTTTCAGTAAGTCTTTGTGTATAAAAATATGAATGAAGCGGATGAAAGAAAATGCGAAAATTTTCTTTTTGATCATTGGACAAATTACTGAAGAACGGAAGTATGCGTTTGTTAGCAGACACCGCCACCCGAACAAAAGTAATCTGATTTTGTATGCAACATATATTGGATGGAGAAGCTGCCTAGATAAATTAAAACCCAGCCATATCTAAATTAAAATAGATTTTCATTAACCTTAACAACTCATAATAACAATATTGTATACGGTTATAAATTAGGTAGATTTTTTGAAAGTTTTTTCCTCATGGCTTGACAATGGAACGAAACTATTGATTTTTAGTTTAATTTTAAAAATTAAATTTAGTTTCAGTTTTGAAACGTGTAACTCTTCTGTGTCGAGATAGAATCATATTTTTAAGAAGAAAAAATCATTACGTATATATATATAGATATGTATATATATATATATAGAGATAGATAGATTTTTTTAATCGGTACACTCCATGGAAGGCAGTAAAGCCACCAAAAAAAAAGGGGTTACTGTGAATGAAAGAATTAGGAACAGAAAACTTACTAATGAGCGAGAAGATAAAACAATAATCACGAGGACAGTAGCTAGCGACTGACATGAGTGTGAGAAAAGGAACGGTTTGTCTAGATTTTACATCTAGTAAGCTCACTTTCAGATTGATGAGATCTCGACGCCAGTCTAGTAAAAAGTTTAAATTTAAAAAAGTCTATGCACCATTGCGAAGAGGGATATTTAAACTGCTTATGTATTAAAATACAAGGCCAAAATGATCGTCTATCTAAACATTAAACTTAGCTAGCCACGATTACTGACACAAACATATCATATTATTCCTTACAACAAACCAATGTATTCATACTAACCACACTTACAACATCCACCTTAATGCCTCTATGAAAATCCTAACCAGACCCCATAATTACAATTCATATCTTTTGGAAGGACTCTTTCGAACAATTACATGAAAATGTTTTTAGAAAAACCGTGAGCCAACCTTAAGGAGGTGGAAAAACGACTGAAGACTGGCCACCAGATTCCATACAATAATATTGATTTTTTTTTCTCAAGGAAAATAGTAAGGGCACCAGACCATATGTGGTAGCAAAGAAAACACACACACACACACACACACACACACATATATATATATATATATATATATTTGTAGGTCTAATGAATATATATATATATATATATTTGTAGGTCTAATGAATATATATATATATATATATATATATATATATATATATATATATATATATATATATATACATATATATATATTTGTAATATCTGATGAATATATATATATATGTAGGTCTGATGAATTAGATCGTATGTACGATGCCAATGGAATAAATTATAAACATGGAATATTAGTGTTCAAGCCTTTTTATTATATATATATA